CATGGATTTAATGAAGGCATCCCTACTTTCAAATGTACCTTTGTTGTTCATGAGTATGTAAAAAAATGTACATTTTAATTATTCATCCCCCTTTTTTCTTTTTATGCATCAATGTTTTAATGAAAATGTTTCAAATCATTGTACTACAGATAAGTTGTTAAAATCTTCTCAAACTTATGAAAACTCTGGTTTCTTCGTTCAAAACAATGTGTTTTTTTAATCAAGTTTTCCGGCTACACTTTATTTACAAAAAATCTTTAGGGAAATTAGACTTTTTTGCACAATTTCCTTGCAATAAAAACGATAAAGGTATTTCCTGTTCGGTCAATTTTGCGAATTTTCACTACAGACATTCTTCCGCAATTTTTTGGATTCCGTAACCAAAAATTTTATCTAAAAATGGATGCTCGAAGAGGTAAAAAAGAAAAAAAGTGATTTTTTAAGTAAAAAAGTCCGAAAAAAATTCAGTGACGACAGTTTTGTACATAAGAAATCGTAGTTTCATAACAAAAAAAAATAAAATCTGTCTTCTTTGAATTTCTCTCTGGCCTTTTTTTCTACGTACAAATACTACAATTGTTCACATAAATAATTTTTTTTTCTGGATTTTTTTCCTGATTTTCCTCACGTAAAAAATTGCGAATTCGTGACGTAAAGATTCCTGTTCAATCCCGCAATTTTTTTTACGTCTTTAATCACAATTTTTTTACGTTCAGTTCTCTGACCCTGATTTTCTACGAGTATTCTTTTACATACATCCTTCGTACTCGTAAAATTTACCAGTTTTAAATTTTTTTTTTTTTTTTACGCATTACATTACAATATGTGCTACAAGGGTTGATCTTTAGCTATACCAATTTACGTTTTCCTAAGTCAAAATATTCCGTTTCGTCCTAATGATGTACCAGAATATGTGTCTCGATTTACCAATGCCGATTTTCTTCGTTTTAATGAGATACATCCCGGTTTCCTTAGACTTTTCCCCGATCATTCTTGTTTTGTTCCGGTTCATGCCATTTTTTCTTATGTTTATGTACATCCCTCAGCCCGTTCCATCCTGATACACTAATCGCGTCATATCCGTATACACTCACGTTTTATCCTAATTCATTAAACGTCATTTCATCCCGACTATAATGCCACGTATCCCGATGGATTCCCTTCATCCTCAAGATGAGACAAAAACGTATTCCTCCTTTACAATCATTAGATACCCCCTCCTCCCCAACTAAAGTCAAATTAATACCAGTACTTACCACTATCATTAGATCTAAGGTAACCGTGTGATATGATGACACTATCTTACCGCTATGAAATAATGACTTCTAAACTCATAACTATGGATGAAAATTCACCCCTCCGCCCCTTTAAATTCTAGAAGGAATTTTTAAAAAAATGCGGGAAGAAAGTCAGCTGCTGCGAAAAAATGTGGAATCACAGCATTCTTCAGGTCAAAATTCTTCATAGGAAGTCTTTTCGTAAAAGATCAATTTTTTTGTAATTTTGCCCCAAATCTCTTCGTACATTACATGGCTGGATTGCTCGTAAAATTCTGAGCTGAATCATATATAATATTGTAATATACAATTTTTATTTTTTACTTCTTTTTCCTTTTTGAAGCTAAGTCCAATTTTTATTCATATCATCGTAACTCGAACTGTAACTTTGCTGCGCTATTTGACGGATTTTTATGAATGAGGCCTCTTTTTACTCGTGTTTTAACGGAGAGTAACGAAAAACTTGCTAAAAAAATGTTACACAACTTTCAACAAAGTTTGGTTTTTTCTAGTAGGATGGTGAAATTGGAAATTACTTACACGTACTTACTCATTTTAAAAAGCTATATTTTATGAGCTGGTATCAAATAACCTCATATTAGGGGCAATTCAGAGAGAGGTACCTAGACCAAAGTTTTAAAAATGAAATTTGGTTATAGCAAATGTACCTGTGAAAATGAACAGTTTCATTGCAAGGTGAGTAACTCAAAAAAATAAAAAGAGTTACGATGGGAAACTTAGGCATATTCAAGCTAAGGAAATATAGGCAGATCAAAATTACAAAAATTAAGAGTCAAAAGTTAAAAAAAAATCTAATTTTAAAAAAATTAAAAGTACAGGGGTACGTGCAAAACGGGCCATTTCACGCTCGTGTCGGATACCATTGAAACTTGCCCTATTCATTCATCTAACAATGTTCCATGTTTTCCCAAAGTTTCAAGTCCCAAAAAAATTTTGGGGGGAAGTGATGGGGGGCCAAAGTTGAAAATCTGCGAAATTTTCGCGAATTTTTTATTCAAAAACTACTAAATATTTCGAAACGCGGTTTAAACGAGCGTTTTTAGCGTGAAAAGAGCTTTCAGAAAACGTATGATATCATAGGGTTTTATCGACTTAAACTCGAGTTATCGCCTCCGAAGCTCCAGAACGCTATATAATGACCCGCTTTTTTTCACGTTCGGGCCGATCCCCAAAATACTCCATTTTAATTTCCTTGAAAAACTGATATGTTGTTCCTGACTCTCTGTGGCACCTATATGTCTTTACCGTATCCTGGGGAAATGTTTTGTTCGCGAGTTATAAGCGCGGAAAGGAGCGAAGCCCAAGTAGCATGGATTGCAATTTCATTGCAATGGATTGTGAGTTGATTGCAATTTTTGCTTGTTGCCTATACGTTCATTTGAAGGCGCTTAAAAAGTTGCAATTTTATTGCAATAAGTTTGCAAGAAATGTAGATTATGCTTGTTTTTCAAGGCACTATAAAGACTGCAATTTCGGTGCAATCATGTTGTAACAAATTCACGCCATGTGCCTGGCATCCAATTCTCTAGTTGTTTTAAAGTTTTTTCGACTTAAATGTCTCACCTACCTAACCCATATAGCCCAACATATTTTGAAAATATTGTCACCTTTATCAAAATATTTTCATGGCAATATTGTAAGTAAAATATTTTCAAAATATTTTTAAAACATTTTAAAGGAATATTTTGAAAATGTTTACAAAAAATATTTTTAAAATAATTCAAAAATGTTGCCTGTAAACATGCATGTTAAAAATATTCCTTAAGAAAGTTTTGAAAATATTTTAAAAATATTTTTTGAAAATATTTTTAAGTTCTCAAGTTAGTATGTGGTGTAATTTACACCGGTGTAAATTTAGTGTGAGTACCTATTACGTGATATCGAAAAAAAAAAATCAGACAAAAAAAATATGAAAAAAATAAATAACACGAAAAAAAATAAATAATAGGCAAAAGAAAGAAGCCTGAGAAAAACGGCGGTAATCAAATCTATGATGAATGTTGAGCCACGCACTGACGCAATGCATGCGATAACAGCCTTAACAGGCGTGATTTCAACCAAGTTCATAATCAGCTCCCTGTAGCTCAGTGGAAGAGTGCTCCGCTATGACATTCGCGGGTCGGGTTCAAGCCCACTCAAGGGCGTCCGGTATTTTATGCTGCTAAACGTCGTAGGACATTAGATAAGCATGGGTTCGAATTATTATAATTTCCCCGGAAAATTTGGGGGTTGAAATTTAAAGGTTGTCAATATTGAAATTTCTTTGCAAAAAAAAAAATTGCAACTTTTTTACAATGAGGGGGTCAGATGTTGTAAAATAATTGCAATTTTCTTGCAAGAAAGTTGAAATCATCTGGAAATTTTATTTCATTTAAATTGCAATTTTTTCGTTGCAAAATGCTACTTGGGAGGTCGGGAGAATCGGCTATTTTAAACTACGCGCGGCGACGGATCAGGAGACATGTGGCAACATTGCAAGGTCGGCAGAGGAGTGTGATTCGCCGAACTGAGCAGGAGGGGGGGTTCTCCTTCAAACCCATGCGACACGCGCAGTTCAAAATAGCCGATTTTCCCGACTTTCGCTCCTTTCCGCGCTTATACCTCGCGAACAAACGGATACGGACCCCTTTACTTTTAAATTTTTTAAAATTATATTTTTTTAAACTTTTGACTCTTAATTTTTGTAATACTAACCCCAGAATACGGTAAAGACATATAGGTGCCACAGAGAGTCAGGAACAACATATCAGTTTTTCAAAGAAATTAAAATAGAGTATTTTGGGGATCGGCCCGAACGTGAAAAAAAAGCGGGTCATTTTATAGCGTTCTGGCGCTTCGGAGGTGATAACTCGAGTGTAAGTCGATAAAACCCTATGATATCATACGTTTTCTGAAAGCTCTTTTCACGCTAAAAACGCTCGTTTAAACCGCGTTTCGAAATATTTAGTAGTTTTTGAATAAAAAATTCGCGAAAATTTCGCAGATTTTCAACTTTGGCCCCCCGCCACTTCCCCCCAAAATTTTTTTGGGACTTGAAACTTTGGGAATACATGGAACATTGTTAGATGAATGAATAGGGCAAGTTTCAATGGTATCCGACACGAGCGTGAAATGGCCCGTTTTGCACGTACCCCTGTACTTTTAAATTTTTTAAAATTAGTTTTTTTTTACTTTTGACTCTTAATTTTTGTAATTTTGATCTGCCTATATTTCCTTAGCTTGAATATGCCTAAGTTTCCCATCGTAACTCTTTTTATTTTTTTGAGTTACTCACCTTGCAATGAAACTGTTCATTTTCACAGGTACATTTGCTACAACCAAATTTCATTTTTAAAACCTTGGTTTAGGTACCTCTCTGAATTGCCCCTAATATGAGGTTATTTGATACCAGCTCATAAAATATAGCTTTTTAAAATGACCCTCATAAAGGGGGGATTTGGAAAGTAACTTTAAAATCCTTCTTTTCCCCGCCCCCTTTCAAAAAAGAAGAATAAAACAAACCAACTCTATTTTCTTATACTTTAGGGTCAGCATTTCCCAAAATGATCAATTTTTTTTTTTTTTTTTTAATGCAATAGTGAGAGATTTCTGGTTTAAAATTTTAATGAACTGCAAAAAATCTCCCCAATGGCCCCTTTTGACGGTACTCTCGTGCTTTTTTGATTGATAACTTTGAGCTTGAAGGATGTTTTCATTTTCCAGGTAGGCTGTCAAGTGCTTCACGTTGTCCTTCACTATTTTTTACTGACGAACTATTTCTGGATGCTTGCAGAGGGGTTCTACTTACACACTCTTTTAGTTTCTGCGTTCATTTCAGAAGAGCGGCTGGTCAGGTGGCTTTACGTCCTTGGCTGGGTTACCCCTATCCCTATAATTTTTCTCTACACCGTATTGCGCCTTTACTATCAAGCAACGGATCAGTAAGTTATCTTCTATTGAACATAATAATTTTTACGCCTTTCGATGAATTTGACTTGAAGGGGAATCTTCAGCTGCAGTTCCGAAAAGATCCTCTAAGTCGCGCTGCTAAAATCTGGCTCCAAAATCGGTGATTATTTATATATCATACGAAAAATGTTTTAAATTTGAAATATTGAGTTTCAAAGCATAATACTGAGTAGGTAACACAATGTTTGCGATTTGTTAGTACTTATACCAGCTCTGTGTGAGAATTGAGTTCGTCAGTGATACTTTAAATAATTATAACCTAACCATACGTGAGCTATATGTTGCAATTAAGGTGCCCTAGTAGCCAAAATATTATTTTTAATACTTATCGAAATAGCATTTTAATATGTATCCAAATAGCTATAAAATAGGGTATAAAATAGCTGAAAATAGGTATAAAATATCCTATCTGAATACCCTATATAGTGTCCTTTTTTTCAACTATAAATACCGTATTTTATAGCTTTCTCATAGCTATAAAATAGGTATCTGAATAGCTATTTAATAGGTATATGGAAACCTATTAAAAAGGTATTTTACTTTTGAAAGAGAACCAAAATTGAGACCTTGAAAATCGCATAAGGTGGTAAGTGCATTGATACGTTGCTAAGATTGTGCAACTGTATACGATAAATGCAGCAAATCAAAACCATGTAGAGGCGAAACATTTTTAGCGAAAATTCCCTGGGCTGTGCTGTTTTTTTTTTTGTTTTTTTTTTGCATTGAGGTTTGCAATTCTATATGATTTTGGTTTGCAAAAAATAAAGTTGCTCTATCATAGCAACGTTGCAATGCAATTATCATCTTATGGTTCTCAAGGCTGCAACTAAGAATACTTGGTAAGAAAATTCACTAACATGTTTAAGAAAATACACAATAATTCTTGGGTTTCTTAAATTCGAAGGTTGAATGATGCAATTTATTCCACCCATTTGGTGTTTTAAATTATTCACTTTCCCATAAAGTACATGACTTTCCTTAATTTAATAGTCCAAATAAAGTCTTAAAGTCAATAAAGACTTTTTGTGAAAATATTGTCCGCAATATTCTTAAATGATGTAAAGGTGCCGGATTTTGTACGGATATTTTCGGAAGATTAGATGCTAACTGGGAACTGGGTATATGTAACCCTTGCAACAGGATGAGTGGCTTGAAAGAAGAAAAAACGTATTAAATAGCTATAAAATACATATTCTCAAACGGAAATTTTAAACCAAGATAAATGCGCATGGAATATCTATGAAATATGCTATTTGTACGATACCGTATAAAATAACAAAATAAATAGCTATAAAATAGCCCATCCGGCCGATACCTATTCGATAATCCTATTTTGGCTACTAGGGTGGTCAGCATTTTATGAGTATTACACTCAAGAGTGTTATGCTGTGTATATGAGGACACTTTCCGTTCAAACAGCGTATACGTGCTGCAGTGTACTCCCACCGCACTCTAGTAACAAAAAGGGGAACTACCTGTAGATGCCTGTATATGTGTACCAGTCATGTGATCACTGCCGGAGAGTTATTGTTCAGATACTGTAACAGTAACCGTCTAATACCGTCCTGTAGCACGTGAATAAACTCAAACCATTGTACCATCATTTTATCGTATTCGTTCAATGAAACAATACATGGCGCAGTCTTGTAACCGTTTACCACAGTGATAAAATCACTTCAAAAAAGCCTGAAGTCAAAGGGCTCGTGTGAAAAGTCCAAGTGTCCGTTCAACATGGCGATAAAGTCTCAATATCCCATTTAAGCTCAGCCGAAAAGGAAATCTGAGTGTCAACTGGAAGAAGTTTCGCCAACACAGTTTGAAATTTACATGTTAGCTGCCAATCTTTCCAAGAGGAAGGATGATATCAAAGTTGCCTCGCTACTCAATTTAATTGGTGAGGAAGCACTCGAAGTCCTGAACAACTTTAACCAAAGTGACGACGAGAGAGAGAGTCGTTGCAAACAATCTTTGGTAAGTTTGAAAAGTCCTACAATCCAAAAAGAATGTGTTACATTCAGTATACCTTTTCTACTCAAGGAACCAAAAACCCAGTCAACGTTTTGACTTTTTCTTCACACATGTTAAAATATTAGCCGTAGACTGTAAGTTCCTAAATCCTAATGACTGTCTTCGGGATTGACTAAAGTTTGGTAGCACAGAAACTAAAGTTCAAGAAAAATTCATCAAGAAAGGAGATGTATCTCTAGGGAAAGCTATAGAAGCCCTCCGAATCGGCGAGGAAACCCGCGACCAAGCCAATCAATTCCTGGAGAAGTCAGCAGTATCAGTCTCAGAGATCAAAGATTCATCCCCCAAAACAACTCCGTCAGCGGCCAAAGGGAGTAGTCAGTAGTCTTCAAAACCTAATATGATCAAGTGTTCTTGATGCGGAAAAGAACATGTGCGTGATAAAGAACAATGTCCACCATGCGGCAAAACTTGTCAAAAATGTAACCGTGTAAATCACTTTCCCTTAGTGTGTAAATCCCAAAACGTTAAATCCAAAGAAAAAGGTCGAAGACGTAGTTCCTGATATTGTGAGTTACGACAGTGAGGATGAATAGGTACTTCTGTGATGAATTGGGTGAGTACCATGATAGCTGTAATTCTAAGCCCGTAGCATAGTTCAAACATAAGGTAGGTGGGGGTAAGAGTACCTACGCATTTTTTGGTTTTTCCCGTATTTCCGCGACCGAATCGACTAATATGGCGGGAAAAGTGGTCGGTCACCCACTACAAGCCCTCGCGCACAAATGCCTTGCGTTGTCCGAGTTTAGAAATCAAATCTAGAGCCATGACGAATTTTTTAAAAAAATTTGAAAATATGCGAATTTGAAATTTTTTTTAAAAAAACATCTCCTGGGCTCCAAATCGCTTTTAAATCCTGGAAAACGACTGAAACTGGGCTCGAAGAGTTCCAATAGTGCCTAACCACTTTTACTGTGAAAAAAAAATAATTCAGTCTCCACAAGCTCCCAAATAATTTTCGAAGTCAATTTTTTTTAAACAGGAAAAGAAAAAAGTTTAACTGCCAAAATTGAACAAAGGACCATAAAAAGTTATTAAGATACTGAGTTGTCTACATCTTCTATTTTGAAGTTCCTATCCCACTTTTGGGCGCGTACTTTTGCCCCATTTTAGCTGCGTACTCTTGCCCCATTTGTAAACATTGGACAACATAAACTAACACTTTGAGCCTAAAGGCCCAAAGGTGTGAAAACAACAACGGATTATTAAGACCAACACTATAATACTTTGATATGGTGTCTGTCCGATTTTTTCCATCAACTACCTATTCTACTCACAACAGACAATAAAAATACTAAAAAAATAGATCTTTTTCGCATGAAAAGTGAACTTGCCTCACAATTCCGTCAAAACGTATTCGCTTCGCACAAAACTTCGTCAACAAGTGAAACTCAATGTTGCCAACAACCAACACCCGGTCCCTGGTAAAAATTGGCAGTAGAATCTGTGTTCCAAAATACCATAGACCTAAAGCCGGCTGTTAGATTTTCAATAGCTTCTACAGCCCGCTGCACAATTTCTTATAGCCTTTTATAGTCGATGGCGATTAAGCGACAGCCAGGCGATAAAGTGTATGCTAAATGTTACTAATTACGGATGCTAGGACTTGGTGAGTTTTTGGACTACCGCTCTATTTTTGGGCCGTAGTATCTTGATTTATTTTGCGCGGAAAGTTCCGTACTTTTGAAGGATGCCTGCTGCCATCCTGATACGTTGGAGCGCTTTCAATTTCGTATGATACTGTGCAATACCTCTGGTGTGAAATAGTTGCTTCAACGCCGTGGGACACTGCGGCGCGGCGGGTAGGGGTGTTGAAACGAATTCTTGCCGGAACTCTTTCGATATCGTCTCTTATTGAAACTGGCGGCAGTACCGACAGTGGCGATGATATCGACAACAGCCGGCCTTATCGGATTTTTGAGAGCTCGCACTCAACGCATTGTTGCCCCTTGTGTCGGTTTATCATATTGCCTGGCGCGGCGGCGCATGAAATAGATGTACACATGGCAACAGCTTATTTTCGCCAGCTCCGAAAACTCTGATCGCTATCGGCAAGAGCGCTCTTATCGTAACTTTTTCTTAACGGAACAGTTTCGGTAGCTTACCGACAACCGATAGAACAGCCGTAGCGGCGGGCGGGCAGCCAGCGCGAAAAGCGCAATAGCGCCTAAAAACCTAACATGGATACTTCACGCATTGCGCAATGCGTGAAGTATCCCTGTTAGGTTTGTGGGCGCTGATGCGCGCTTATCGCTGGCAGCACGCCGCGCCGAGCCGCGCCGCACAGTGGTTTTTTAGCGGCAAAAACCCCATTTTCCGAAGATCATTTATTTTAAAAAAAAATGTTATTTTCCAACTTTTAAGGGTTCACACTAACATATGTCAATAGTATTTTTTACTGTCATTCATTTATAAGATTGCTACAGCACGCTAAAAACAGAAAATTTATCTTGTAGAAAATATTCCTTAAAATAGGCATTTTTTACGCAAAATTCAGCTGATCCTATTTAATTCTAAATCAATTTTTTAGAGTAAATGCTTTAAAACCTGTCATCTCTAGTTCATATAGAAGTGATTTCTTGGGGTGGTTTAAAAAAAAAGCAAATATCTTGAATGACGGGGATAAAACCAGATATTCTTCAAATTTAAAAATCCCTTCAGAATAATCGGCTTAGGAAGACTTTTAAAAAATCTGTCAAGGGATGTTAAAAGATTAAAGGCATTTTCAGAGAGTCAAAGGTATGTAGTAACTGCCCTGAAAATATTTCAACCCGGTTTAGAAGTTACAGGGGTTGAAAGTTATCAAGGGCGCGAAGAAAACACAGTTTTCGAGACAGTTCGCGCGCAGCACCGCTGTGGCCGGTTTCGCTAGGTAGTTTCTTTAAAAAATTATTAAGCCTGCTAATAAATACAAGCATTTTTTAAGGATCAGAGATGTTTGCTA